CCATAATACTGGTGGGTAAATGGACTGAGAGGGCAAGCAAAACAAGTTTAAAATGGTTTTCGTAAAGATTTAGCCCATTTAACAAGGTTATTTTGAAGACAACAAAAATCTTGGGCTAGGAGGCTTTGGGCCAGCATGGTCTTGCCAAAGCTCTGCATTGTACCTAGGTCGCAATCTAATAGTAGGAGGCAGCGCTATATCTCGCTTACAGCAACACCTAGCGTGCTCTCACATCAGGAACCTCCAAAAATGGGCCGGCTGAAGAGCGAGGGAGGCTACAGCCTCATTTTTTTTTCATGTTTTGTTTCTTTATTTTCTTTAGGTTATCATGCCACATATTTTAAATTAAAATAATACAAAAAATTGCAGAAAACATATGAAAAATTGCTAACAAAGCATTTGAAAAATGTTAAATGTGTATAGAAAAAATGTTGACCATGTATTCAAGAAATGCAAAACTTGTATTTAAAAAATGTTAATCAACCATTTGAAATGCTAAAATGTATATAGAAAAATATTGACCATGTTTGAAAAATGTTAATCCAGCATTTTAAAAAATTAAAAATATTGACCATGTTTGAAAATGATAATCTTATATTTGAAAAATGTTAATCAAGCATTTTAAAAAATAAAAAATGTGTAGAAAAAATGTGACCATGTATTAAAAAATGTTAACCAAGCATTTGAAAAATGTTAAATGTGTATAAGGAAAATATTCCTCATGTATACAAAAAATATACAATGCGCGTGTGAAAACATTTAATCATTCTTTTTTCCAGAAAATTTAAATTAAGCATTTGAAAAAAAAGGTATTTGAGAAATGTTAATAGGTATAGAAAAAATGTTGACCATGTACTAGAACAATATTATTCTTGTACTTGAAAAATGTTAATCTAGCATTTAAAAAATGTTAAAAATATGTATCGAAAACCTTTTGATCATGTATTCTAAAAATGTTAATCAAGAACAGGAAAACAATTCCACCAGGACCTTATCGTCGGCGGCGTCGCCCACTTCCTCGATGGTGCCGGCAAGTTCGTATTTGACGACCGCCTGCACGTCCTGCTCCGGAGGTCCATGACTGGGCTGGTGGTCAACCCGCCGGAGCTCATGGCGCCCTATACCTCCTAACCAGTGGCCGTGCCCGAGGACTGCCGCTCCATGTTCATCACCTTCTCCAAGGAAAATGCCCTCCACCACGACGAGATCTTTGAGTACTTCAGAGAGTAAGTGTGCAGTGAGAATGAGATACACTACTCGATGTCTCAAACTATTGATTAAGTTTATATACTAAGATATGCATGCATGCATGATGATCATGTCTGAGATTGGATGTGCATGGGTGCAGGAAATGGGGTGAGCGCGTGGTGAGGGTGCTGATGGAGAATACAAAGGGAGGCCAGATGCCAATGTACGGCCGGATCATCTTCAAGACCGAGCCGGTCGTGAAGCTGGTGCTCAATGGCGAGAGGCTTGTCAAGATCTCCATCGTGCAGCGTCAGATCTGGCTCCACAAGTACGTCCCTAGGCCAACCAAAGCCACTGCCTGATCAAGGAATCCATATAATCCTTGTTGCGTCTATGTTCATGCTAGCTAGCTAGCTAGCCAGATACACCAATTATGGATTTGTAGCGCACAACTTCAAATAAAAATTGTAATGTTGTGTTTAAAGGAAAGAAATATGTGCTTGAGATTGAAAGAAAAAGTTAGTTGTTTATGAAAAAGCATGTCATTTATCTATTGAGCTAGAACGGAAATCCTATTGGGCAATTAAATATCTTAACTATGATTTCAAACTTGATGAAGAAAAGAGGTTATTTAATGTCAGTTATCTTGATGAGTGGAGAACATAAGCTTATGAAAAATGCCAAGTTGTTCAAAGAAAAGAAAAAAGATGGCATGATAAAAGGATTTAGAAATTACATTTGAACATTGATGTTGAATTTCTTTTGTACAAGTCTCATTTCAAACATTTTGCAGGCAAACTTCTTTCCAGGTGGGAAGCAACATATATCGTCAAAGAAGTTTACCATTTCGAAGCTATCAAGATCAATAATGCTAAAGGACATAAACCAAAGGTAGTTAATGAGCAAACACTAAAACATTATATTGTAGGTAATCCCATTCACATAGATTCAGACGTTATTCAATTAACTAGACCAGAAGAATGCATAGAAGAAACCATTCGGGAAGCCTACAGAGCTCGGAAAATTGAATTGGTACGTGGTGCGGTAAGTAGACAGATTTTTAAAATTCTAAAATAATAATATATCTGTCCATTTTGGAATATTTAATAAATTTTGGGGAAAAGGAGCCTAGGGTGCACTAGGGGCCCACACGCCTTGGTGGTGCCCCCCTAGGGCACGTTGTGGGGCTGTGTGGGGCCCTGTACACCTTCCCGACTCCGTCCCTTTCCCGTATGCTTGTTTCGCGCAGAAAAAATCCCTATAAATTCCCCCGAGATGTTTTGATATACGTATGACACGTTTTCCTCCTATTTTCGTTTCAATCTTGTTTCTCTCAGGGTTTCGAGATCTAGATCACTATGTCGTCATCAAGCTCTACAAGGATCGGTTCTTTGAGAAGGTCATCAACCCTTATCTCCCTGGGTTATGATGCATGTCAAAACCTTGGAGCATGGGGATGGGGTGTTACACATCGAGGATCTTGAAGGGCCCAAGAAGGAGGGATATGAGAAGGCTAGGCTTAGTGACATGGAGCAAGAACTCTTCAAGTGCCAGAGGATGGTGGAGCGCGGACTAGATGCAAATCACACCATGATCACGAAATTGCTCCATGAACAGAAGTGGGAGAGTGCCAAGACTAGGGAGGCAATTGATCGCCTCCAAGTCAAAGTTGAAGATCCTCAAGCTCTAATTTATTATTTGCATAATCAAAACTATGAGTATGAAACCAAGTTCAAGATGATCGTTTTGGCTGCAAATTCCAAGATCCCAGAGACCACTTGGAAGAAGGATGACAAGTGTGTTCCATCACCACCGCCATCACCAAAGAAGGAAACATGGGTACTTGGGTATGGGCGCCACCCTTGGCTTGTTCCAAACTTGGGGGAGGTGCCCTAGTATCATACGACAACCTGTATCATTATTAATATCTATTATCGTGGTTCAGTAAAGGTTGTAGTATGAAATAGATTGCAATGTGTGTTGTTCCTTTGTATTTTCGTTGTATCCGTTGGTGAAAGTATCTATAATAAAGAATAGCATGAGTATCTTGTTTGCTTTATCTTTATTGTGTATCCTCGCATTGCACTTCAATTTCATATGCTGATCTTATGGGAAGTAGTGTCTTCACATTGGGTTTAGGAAGTAAAATCTATTGAAATTTATCAAACACAACATTGGTCATTTGAACAATTCATGAAAGATTAGTAGAACGAAGAAAATTTTCACATGCAAATATACTCTCTTGGACATATTTTGTGATTCCAAACCCTCAATGAATATTTTCACACTTGATCAAATAGTTGATGTTGGACAAGAAAGACAACGTAATGAGTTATATTTATGTATATTTCCATAGAACTTATATTGTCATTGATCCTCCAACATATGGCATTTTTTATAATCTTTGCTAGGCAAGTACTTCCGCACTAAGTGGGAACACCACTTGTGCATACAAAAACCCTAGACCCAATTTCTTCCATAAAAATCCACTATAACTACCTATGGATTGAGTAAGATCCTTCAAGTAAGTTGTCATCGGTGCATGCAATAAAAATTTCCTTTAAGTATGCATGATCTTTTATTGGAAGGGAAATAAGCTTTGTATGAACCTGTGATGGTAAAGTATTAAAAGAGATAGAATGCAAAATATTGCTTACTATCACAAGGGGAGATGTTAAAGTGATGTTCATTTTCATTATAAACTCACACATCCAACTCAAAAGGGCATGACAACCTCCGCTTCCCTCTACGAAGGGCCTTTCTTTTTTACCTTTTCCATCAACTTTATCTTTATGTTTGTGTCAACTTCTATTATTCCAACCTCAAATATTCTCCACTTGGCAAACATTGTACTATGTTAGGGAAAGATCGAGACACATATATCTAGTTGAATATATATGATCATGAGTTATTACTATTGACAATTATCTATGTGCTAAGTAAGTTGGGTTGTGCATCCTTAAACCCCTATCTTCCTTCGTGTTTGATTGAAGTTGTTTGTTCTAAAAATATGCTCCTGAGTGCAAGCAATCATTAGAAGACTATATGATAGTTGAGTATGTGAAGTTTGCTAAACAAATGAAGTTTTGCACGGGTTTTTGTAAAGATTTGTCCCATTTAACAAGGGGTATTCAGAAGAAGAAAAATCTTGGGCTAGGAGGCAGTGGCCCAGGATGGCCCTGCCAAAGGTCTGCCATTGTAGTTAGCTCACAATCAAATGGTGGCACGGTGGTGTCCTGACTTGATGCTTGCACCATTGATGATGGGGGGTGGTAGCTAGAGCGACAACAAAGTTTATATAGAGAGTAAGGAATCACAATGTGCTCTATATATGTAAATGAAATCGAAAAGAAAAGTATAACATGTGAACTCCGGTGAGTTTAACATTAACCAGTACCAAAAAAAGGTACTGCAAATTGAGAAGGATATACAAGTGTTGCGCCGCATCCAAAGTGGTTAACAAACGACAGATGTATAGGTTTTAAGATGTAAACGAACCAAAAAATCAAATAAGGATGTAAAACCGGCCAAGGAACGAGAGCATCTACATCTACACGCTGGCGTTCGAAACTGATTCAAAGAGAGTTGTTTCCCGCTAGCCCATTTTTGGCATCTCATCAACCCTTCCACCGGCCGGAGCACGGCCGCGTCGCCGGACCAGGAGCAGGAGAAACTACAAATAACAGCCCATTCCCCATCGACCCATCATCTCTTTCTCGCTCCTCTCCGGCCGGCCATCCATCGCCTATCTAGAGCTAGCTAGCTACCTTCTCCGGCCGGCCGGTCGAAGCAACCAATTAACCAGAGCAACCATGGCGGCCGTGACGGTGCGCGAGGTGCTGTACATGTACAGCGTTGTGCGGCAGGCGTACGAGCGGTTCGTGTCCGTGTGCGGCAGCCCAGAGCAGGCCCAGAACGTGGTGGCGCTGCTGGTGTGGCTGGACCAGGGCACCATCTCCGCCATCCACTTCGTCCCAGCCATCAGCCCCGACGCCGTCGCCGTTGTAGCGTGGGAGGCCAACGCCGTCCTCGAGTGGCTCCACAGCCAGGTGCCTGCGGTTCCGGCCTTCCCGGTCATCTCTGCGCTCTGCATGCAAGGCGGCGTCCGCATCGACCCGGGCTTCTTCACCATCCACCAGGACATCGTCGTCCGCGGCATCGCCCACTTCCTCGACGGTGCCGGCAAGTTCGTTTTTGATGACCGCCTGCACGTCCTGCTCCGTAAATCGGAGACTGGGCTGGTGGGCAACCCACCGGAGCTCATGGCACCCTACACCCAACCCGTGGCCGTGCCTGAGGACTGCCGTTCTATGTTCATCACCTTCTCTAAGGGCATGCCCCCCTACCGTGAGGAGATCTTTGAGTACTTCAGAGAGTAAGTGTGCACTGAGAATGATTAAGTTTATATACGTGAATCTACTAAGATCTGCATGCATGCATGCGTGATGATCATGTCTGATGATGGGTGCATGGGTGCAGGAAGTGGGGTGACTGCGTGGTGAGGGTGCTCATGGAGAAGACGAAGGGAGGCCTCATGCCCATGTATGGCCGGATCATCTTCAAGACCGAGGCGATAGTGAAGCTGGTGCTCAATGGCAAGAGGCTCGTCAAGATCTCCATCGGGCATCGTCAGATCTGGCTCCGCAAGTATGTCCCCAGGCCAACCAAGGCCGCCAACCAAGGCCACTGCCTGATCGAGGAATCCATATAATCCTTGTTTCGTCTATGCTCAAGCTAGCTAGCTAGCTAGCCAGATCTACCAATTATGGACTTCTTGCGTACGAGGAATCCATATAATCCTTGTTTCATCTATACTTCAAATAAGAAATGTTGTGTTTAAGGGAAATAAAGATGTGCTTGGAAGAAAAAGTCCGTTGCTCTTAATTTTGTACCAAAGAAACCGTTTGATCACATCATCGCCTAGCTCATTCGCGTCACCAAGACCTTGACAGGCGATCACATCATTGCCTAGCTCCTTCGCATGACCAAAACCTTTTTTTTTGCGGTGTCGCATCACCAAAACCTTGGCAAAAGTTCTTGGTTTTGATTTGTAAACTAGGCATGTCGGACCAAGCAAAAATATTAACTATTACACAACGGTCACCCATGTTGCAACGTAGATCCCTCCTCCCCCCCTTAAGTAATATTGCTAGGATTACGCAGCTGCTAATCGGATCGTATCTAATATACATGAACACAATTTGATCTGATGCGGAAATTAGGAGCAGTAGATTGATTATACCTCCGTTTGGTGATGCCATCTTGGGTCTAGAGAGGACGAAGAACTCGACAACGTCTCCAGCACCTCGTCGGAGTAATGGAAAGTTTTCACGTCAATGAGCCGTGCTCTCCTGATTGGAAAAGGAGTGATTTTGGAGTAGACGATGCCTAATGCGATGAACTGATTCGTACATGCAAATCCGCTCCTTATATAATGCATTGGCTTTGACAGTGGGACCTGAACCATATTAGCGTTAATTTAGCCCCCCAATCACGGGCATGATTTATTAATTTCCATTTAATTGATATTAATCCTGAAATTAATTAATGGGTCAACAGTAATTTATGGTAAGTAACCTTTTTGACCATTTGATCACATAATAATCCCAACATTCTCCCACTTGATTGAATGGTTAACATCATCAGTCCATACTTCGACAAAAGCATCATACCAAGGTAATGTATTCACAATAATCAAAGAGTTATTACTGGAACCCCATTATCTATAGCATAATACTCCGTCTCAACACGGATAATTATTCATGGTTGGGAGTTTGTATGTGCATGCAGGCATACTCCCTACTTATGGTCCTAGTAGTTTGTTTCTTTATTAATCATTATGTGCACTTATTTAGGGAAAACAACTTCCTTATTGTCCAGATCAAAATTTGAGATCTCATTTATACAATTATCCCACCAATCAGAGGCCTTGAGTTATACTTATGCTAGCAAAATTAATGGTAAGCCTTTAGTTTGGGGATCAGCTATCATGCACTTAGTACATATATGCTGAGTTTAATATTTGTTCTTGGACAATATCTTTCACAACATGATACTCACTTAATTGTTGTTACTCATGAACTAATGTGCGGATTTCTTATTGCACAAAAAATATTAGTTATGTAGTGTACCAATCTAAGTCCGGATAAAATTGTTCAGCCACAAGGCTTGCCTGGTTGTATCGCAACATAGCTAAAATTCAAAGTTGCTTTGTTGTCACCTTAGACAGTAGGCTTAGTAGTGGAAAACTTATTTTATATGTATTGTACCATATAGTACGAACGTGATATACTAGCTCCCACTCATCTTAGCATACATGCAATTTCCCTTCTTATTTCCTATATGAACCCATCAATTTTAATTTTCCATTGCCCTTTTGTATATAGCTCCCACTGATGAAAACATTCTATAAAGAATTAGAGTGTTTAACACCGGTGAATATTGGGCAACAATAACAAAGAAACAAAAAAACATTGTTCTTCTGGAAAAAGGGTCAATGCGAATACTTATGTGTGAAGGTAATGAAAGATTAAAACACTTATAAGTGCTAGGAACTGGACCGCATTTTTTATGCGTACTAATTCCATATCCCGAGTACTATGGAAAACTCCTGTATCAGTTTTCTTTGCTTATTTCCCTCAATGTAACTAATAGTTTAACCTAAATCAGGTAAGCCAAGTAGATGAAAGGAATGTGTCTCTTACTTAATGAGAGTGTTCATTTCTCCCCTTCGAAATATGTCTTAAATGATAGTATCATCATTTCGATGAGCACTCGTAATACACATTCAAGGATTCACAAGAGACATCACAACGAGAACTATCATGACAACTCCTAATAACACATTTTTTAAATCCATCATCTAATAGAGAAACAAAATTAGGTCCCTCTTTATGCTAGGAACATAACAATATTATTAGGATGGAGGATGAACAAATCTTCAATGCTTAAGCATAAATCCAAATGCTTGAACATCAGCCCAACTGGAAAAATCTAAGACTTGGATCCATCCTTTTGGAGTGTCCTCACAGAATGGAATCCCTGAAATGAGTTCGAAGTGTGCAAGTGGCACCTGAGTCAACTCACAATTATTTATGGGAAGATAAGTAAACCAATGATTCAGGAATTTAAGGAATTTTCATTACCCTTACTAGCAAGCCTTTGAGCCCAACTCTTTCATAACATGCCCATGAGATGTTCTTCTTCTTGAACACACATATGTATGAGCTCACTCATGGTCCACTTCTCCGTACGTGTATTATAATTGATCCTAAATGGACCATACTCCACAGGAAGGGAATTCATAATGAAGTCTACCAAAAGGCCCTCAGAAATCTCAATGCACATGCCCTCTAATTTCGCGGCCATATCGTTCATAGTTATGATATGCCTTCTAATGCCGCTTACACCATCATACTTAGTGGTGAGTATTTCCATGATCAGCGTGCTAGCATGTGCTTTTGAGGAGTTTTTGAATTGCTCCTCCACTAATGCCAGGTAAGTTTCAACACACACAAAGTCAGGAATTGCTCCCCTGATCCCATGATTTATTGTGCTTTTCATGAGCTTGATAGCCATGCGGTTGGAGCGTTCCCATTTCTCCATATTAGCCTCATAAACCTTATTTTTCTTCTTACTTTTCTCAAGAAGGCTTTCATCATCAGAAGGCGGAGGAATAGGAGCCTTTTCTCTAAGTGCACAGTCAAGGTCCATGATCACAAGGGCATTCAAAATATGCTCCTTCCAGGAAGGAAAATTAGTTTCATTGAGATGTTCAATTCCACTGATGTGCCCGAAAATAACTGATGGGTCCAAAGCTAAATAAAACATAAATAACACGGATATTGAACATTATGAAAATATCCATATATAAGGAAACTTAATGCATGATATTAATCCTACGTTGGTTTGATTAATAACATGGCAAATTTAATTAAATCCTTATTCGCAACACCGTTGGGCAGTAACAAAAAGGAACAAAATGTAATATCTTTATTGGAAAATTAATTATAGTAATCATGATAATAATCAACTTTGGTCAGAATATAATCATGCATCACAAAATTAATCATTGTAATTATCCCAAGATATATAGTGGCCTTAGATAAAAGGTCCAAAAAAATCATAATAATCATGATCACATACAACGTTGGTCTGTATGTAACCATGCAATACTAAAAGTAATCATCACAATTATTGTGAGAATATATAGCAGTGTTAAACCAAAATTTCTCGTTGGTTCCATTCTAATTCAACACTTAATGCTCATGAATAACGACCGGAATGCACATAATAAAAATAATAATCAAGCGTGTAATTTAATGAGCAGAATTAAATAATAAGGTACATCACGTGATTAACTTTTGTGCATCCCAGGAGATGATAGTAGTGCAGCCTAGGCATCACGGGCTGACGCTTAAACGAGCAGCTAACTTATAACCGGTATTAACCGAAACAAATGCATGTGTAACCTATCAAAAGTACAACAGGGCACAGGCTAAGGACGTAACTGTATGAAACAACACCCGAGAGAGAGAGAGAGAAAACTCATAAGATACTGAATCATACATCGCACAAATAATTAAACAGCTATCTATTGTTTCAAAATAACAAACATAATCCAAAAAGTAAATAAATCAGCATGTGCTCTTCCTGAAGGTACTAGGCATCGATGGAATTAAAAATTAAACAAGCTGCCCGTCCTAGTACTAGGCCATTATCCAACTCTGATAACACAAAATGCCTCTGTGCGGCCCAGTTATAAGCAAGGCCGGTCAAATGCCCACTCTTAGTGATACGCAAGTCAGTTACGCAAAGTGCAAAGACAAATCCCGAATCAACCTAGCCAGCTCTCGCTCCGCCGCCACTACTCGCGGAAAAAAAGGATCGATCGAGCGCCGGCGGCCGTTACGGTAGTGAGCCCGAAGTGTGAGAAAGGTGCTGATGCGCGCGATAAGAGGAGGAGGCCGAGGCGCTGGGAGTACCGCCCTGATGCTGCGTCCCCATAATGCGCACGGTGCCGGGAGTACCGCCCTGATGCGCGCGGCAAGAGGAGGAGGCCGAGGCGCTGCCTTAGGCGCGGCCCTAATGCACGACCGTAATGTGCGCCACGGCGGGCGCACGACCCTGAGGAGCGCGGCGGCGCATGACATGATATGCTCGTGATGCGAGTATCGCTCATGCGCAATCAAAGACGATGTCGCTCGAAACTGATGAGCGGATGCCGGGGTCCCATGTGTACAGAAGGTGGGATTTTCTGCCGATGCTGCTTAAAGCGCGCGGCGCCGATCCCTAAAACTTGTGTACGACGGCGTGATTTTGCAGGCAAGTTCTATCAGATTTGCAAATTCTTTGCTAGTAGGATTAGTCTACTGTGGATTATCAAATCGATTCATGTAATTAGATCCAACCATGCTACTGATACCAAATGTAAGTAATATTGCTGGGATTACGCAACTGCTAATCGGATCGTATTTAATATACATGAACACAATTTGATCTGATGCGGAAATTAGGAGCAGTAGATTGATTATACCTCCGTTTGGTGATGCCATCTTGGGTCTAGAGAGGATGAAGAACTCGACAACGTCTCCAGCACCTCTTGGGAGTAATGGAAAGTCTTCACGTCAATGAGCCATGCTCTCCTGATTGGAAAAGGAGTGATTTTTGGAGTAGACGATGGCTAATGCGATGGACTGATTCGTACGTGCAAATCCGCTCCTTATATAATGCATTGGCTTTGACTGTGGGACCTGAACCATATTAGCGTTAATTCAGTCCCCCAATCACGGGCATGATTTGTTAATTTCCATTTAATTGATATTAATCCTGAAATTAATTAATGGGTCAACAGTAAGTTATGGTAATTAACCTTTTGACCATTTGATCACATAATAATTCCAACACCCCCCACTGCCCTATTCTGTTATTTGGGCATGAGCACCTACATGCACCTTCCCCAACCATGGTCCTCCTCTTATTCTCCTGAGTCCATTTCAACTTTACTTTAATCCTCTCTCTATATATCGTTCTCGTTATTGTTTGTCCTTTTTTGGCGCATTACACCTCATTGGGAGCCACGTACGGTTTCCGCTCTACAGAGGGAGACATGCCTAATTAGGCTTGCTGCTCCCTTGCTGGCATGGAAGAAACATTTGCCGTTGTCTAAATATCCTTTACTTTCGTTCTCAAAACATTGGTGCACAAAAGTAGTAGATTTTATTTTCACATTGCATGTTTATCGACACCCTTGATTTTTTACTTCTTATGTTTTGACTATTGGATCAAGCCACATACATACCCCAAATGCATTGTATATTTTCTATACTTGCATGTGCTTTGTCATATGTTCTATAGAAGGAAGTTTAGTTGTTTGTGCTTGAGACAATTTAGAAGAAATAAAGAACCGCATGAGACTGAAAAAAAGCTTGTTCCTCCTTATTTTAGAAAATCATGTGACATCATTGCCTCGGTTGCCATCTCAGTATTATTCGCTTCCTCCCCACAAAACCTTGGTGTGCAAAACTCCCTAATTGTGATTTGACACTGCATATCAGACCGATCAAAAAGTACAATCGTTATACATCGGTCGACCATGTGACGATATAGATCATTGGGTTCCACTATTTGGATATTGACCACCTGCTTACATACCCCCACCACCCCACCCCCAACATACCACCGTCTAATTCAGATTGTTGCTCCTTTGTCGCTTGTCGCTATGGAAGGAACCGTATGCCATTTTCTAAATATCCTTCGGTTTCTTTCCTAAACGGTTAGTGCACATAACTTCTAGATTTTTATTTCACATTGCATATTTACGAGCACCCTGATTTGTGCACATTGTTTCAAATAACAACGAAATATCTTTTTTACTATTGCGCCAAATCACG